CCTGCTTATCCTGCGCGACGACCGAAACAATGTGAAATTACTTTTAGTTTGTGTGGTCATTGGAGCTTTATGAATGGGAGTTCAACCAGGAGAACGATTAAGGTTCTCAACCAAAGCCTTTAGTTTTGACAAGAACCTAACCGCAAGACAGTGGTTAGGGTAGACTGGAGGCCCATTATCTTGGATCATTTACTCCTCCAACACGTTTTCACCGACTGAAACGTTAACTCAATTCGAACCCCCAGTCTGGAGGACCAGGAAACTGGACTTTGTCTAATCTCTACTTATTGACCTTCCACGCATGATTAGATCTGCGGCTTGACAACAGCCATCCTGCATAGCTCGTTGGGTCAGAGAGGTACACAAGCCATCACCACGTCAAGGTGCAGTCCCATCGTGATGATAGCCAGGCAATAGCTCCGTTTACTCTTTCGGCTAATCTTTTCCGTCTAGAATACTGGAATGCGCAATAAGAAACTGAAGGAAACTAAGGAACTCGAAAATTCGTGCGGTTAGATCTCCATTTTTTTTTTACTACAAACAGTATCAAGATACAACTGACATTCTCTCATTCTAATTTATGGTTTCTTTTATTTAGGGATTAATTACTATGACATCCTCAGGTGCTTCTCTCGCAAATACCGAAGACGGAAGACAAGATATCTCTTCGGCCCCTCCACATTGCACTATGTCCCTGATTCAAGCATGGGAGCGAAGAGAGGATATTCAGTCCACTCAGCCTCATGTGGATGTCACAGATGCGTGGTCCTCAGATGGAGGAAGTGTAAGCTCTTCAAGTTGCAGTTCCGATCAACCTGGATCTGGCCAAGAAGATGTTCATGAGACCGATCCCAGAGCCAACGATCAATCTGGCAGTAATGCATTCTTTGAAGAGAAAATTCAAACTAACGCATCATGTCTTAAGTAAGTGTGCGCATACTTATCTCCATTAAAAACCGTTTGTCCTTTGAACGTGCTATTCCCCCCCCCCCGGGTTTTGCACAATGCACGTAAACTACTGTTTTATTCGCTACGTTATTCTGTCTCACATCATTAACCCCCCTAGTCCGGCTTTGCCCATTTTACAATAGTAATTAATCGTAATTTTTTTCGTGCAAACTTAGTCAAGTTATTGCTTGATAAACCTTGCCGAACGTGCATTCTACCTCTCGGATATTCTCCTCCCAATCAATTTTCCAAAGATTTCAATTCCATGCAGAATTCCCCCCAGTTATTAATTTATGTAAGTTTGGTCCACCTGAATTCACCACTTTCATCTTGATACTGCTCTCGACTTTCTACTTCTATATGTATCGACCAAATGGGCATTCCTAAGACAGAAATAAAATGAACAATGCATAAAAGTGCAATGTTTTTTTATTACACTTTCATGTGGTGAACAGCAAACGGGGAATGTCCTATAGTCTCGAGGACCTGCTGTTCACTGATGAAAACCGGTAATCCAAGCCCCGGGACTTGGAGTGGCGAGCCACATAAGGCTCCGATAGGTTAGATGTGCTATTAAACCGAGGGACAGTAAAGCTGCTTACCACTAAAGCAAAGCAGCGAGAATGTCAATGTCGCGAGGTGTTACTATCTCTTTTAATCTTTTCACTCGCTACATCGTAAAACAACCTGGTACTTACACAAGCAAATTTTGGTAACTGCGGTGGTAGAACGGACAATAGTCAGGGAAGCGGGGGAGAGGGTGGGGTGGGAAATCAGTTGCATGGCAGTGTTTGTGTGTGTTTAATCGTTCTCTGTAGTAAATCATCCAAATGCATCCAAATGTGTGCACAAAATACATCTATTACAGCTCGTTTTCTTTCCGGCATTTGTTGTCAAATAGACTGAAGACAAAATGCTGGAACCAATTTGGAGTAGCAGCCGACCCCCGATCCCCCTCAGGGTTGCACCGCCACTCAGTTTATTTGACTTAATTGGTTTACAATTTCAGACTGTTGTTGAGTTGCAGATTTTGATCCATTCTACTTATGAAACATAATAGTTCAAAGAAACAAAAAGCTCATTGTGAACAACCTCATTGGTAACTTCGACGTTGTCCAAAACTGAGTGAATTGTGCAACTATCCGGAATTGCTCTGAGTCCCGAAACCCAGGTATTTTCCACCACAAATAGTTTTCCTCAGTTGATTCACTTCTCTATTTGAGTTTCTGATTGCCTTGATACACATGCGTACACATTTGGCTGTCTCCTTCACTTAAATGCTCCTCACTACTCACGTAATTCTCGTTCATCTTGTGGTGCACCAAGGCATAGTGTTGTTCACTGCTACACAACCTGTCCAAGCTGTATCCTACACATCAATCTAGACACATTTTTTGATTTTTTGGCTTTGCTGACAATGTGTCACTTTCTGACTTTTTACTTTTTTGACAAGTACTTTGCTTCCGAATCTGTCTGGTTAACCATATAGCATCTCTGATGTTTTGCTGCAGTCAGTGCATGTGCCTTTCTTCTTTCTTGTTTTTCAAAGAATTGTCTTGCCAAGCTCCTCCCACCTGTGGTTCACCAAAGACTTAGCATAACTTCCCAGCGGGCCCGCAACGAATTTTCAATGGCTATCCAATAGGTCAAAACAGTTCATGTTCCAGCTGCGAAGCTACCATCTTGTCCGTGTGATAGTCGCAATAGGTCCACTGGTGATCTACCGGCGTGCGTTTACTTTCACTTTTACCACCAAATGGGGCGTGAGAATGAGTAGGCTTGTTAGTAATACGTTTTTCATCTTCAGAGGATAAAATTTTATCACGGAGCTGGACTGGTACAGCTCCCAGTCCCACACCAAATTAGGGAGCAATGGAGAAAGTAGGTGAATTTTGATGTCTTGATAGTTAAATCCCACCCGGTGGGCACATTAGAAATGTAGTCAGGGCACGTATATTTTAGCCTCGGATGCCGTTTGACAACCTGAGCCATCCATGTTACGCTGTGACATAAGGCCGTCTTTGAAAGGTCGCGTGCGCTACTATATGGTGCAGAGACTTGGCCATAACCAGAGCAGTATAAAGATGGACGGTCAGTTTTCGAACACCGTCGTCTACGATACATTGCACGAATATGGTGGGTCAACCGGACGAGTGAGGCTTGATCAGAGTTTTTGTCAACCACAGGGGTCCTCTGCAGCAAGTGCTCGCCATCCATAGATCATGTTGATTGGGGCATGTGTTACTCATTTCGCCAAATAAGCTACCACTGTGTGCGTTGTTAACCGAGGTAGGCAATGGGTGAAAGAAAGCCAAGGGTGATCAAACTAAAACCTGTTGCGAGGAAATGGAAGGCCTTACCAGGAGACGTGCTCACATGGGTCGTGTTAGGTTTCGTGGATGGGTCTCTCGGGATAAGCGTAATTGATTGTTAGTGATATGACTGAGTGTAATGAATTGCTTTATTTTACGGCAGCTGGCTCCTTGAAAGGAATAAGCTGGCTTAATGAATATATATATATATATATATTCATAATAAATAGTATATAGACGTTCACGTCACATTGGTTGCGGTTAGTAGCATCTAACCCAATTACAAAACGTTGATAACCTGTGGGATCACATCCAAAACGCCATGCGTTAGTCTGCCACCACAGCAGGTGGCTTCACCAAGTGCACCGTCTACCATTGGTTTTCCGCACATTCCTTGGAGCTGCTTGACACTCGTCGAAGCGTCCCTCCAAGTATTGAATGCAACACACTTCTTAGGACTAGCAGTGCTTAACTGAAACGATTCTTTTGAGCGGACCGGTTGACCTGTTGTGCTCAACGCGCTTCCAAGATGGAGCTAACCACTGTTTCCTGTGAAGCTCACATGCTTTTCCGACTAATTCGAACTACTGGTTACAAAAAGCCATGCGTGAATGTGACCATGTACAAACCAATGTTAAGCATATCCACAATCTCCGACATCGACTCGAAAGCCTGATGGAGCACTTCCATCATCTGTTCAGTTTGCCATCCATGTTACCTGCATCCTTGACGTACGAAATCCAAAATGCTTGAAGCGGTATGTATGCAGAGTCTGATTCACCATGTAGGTTCAGCTTCTTCCCCCTCCAAAAGAATAGGTCCAATCCCTGTCCACCTTAAATATTACCACTAACCTTGTGTGCATTGCGAGTTTGGCAGCGATCAGTGAAGTTCTCCTCCATACATTTTGCTATACGATGATGATAATGACGCCATACAGTTGAACAAAACAACCAGACTAACCTGATGTGGTATGATGGCTTGCGCGCCTCCATCACCATGCGAGCTATACAGGATGAGTCCTCACAGCCCAGGATCCAATCATGCCCGAAAGATCAATGAGTGGAGGCCAAACGAAACTTAGTCTCACAATCCAAAATGCTTGGACACCTCCCTGCTTCCTCTATCTATCCACTGCCGCATCTGGAGACGTCAATCCACCAAATAAACACGGAGAGGGGCAGTCTACCGGTCAAAAACCCTGTAAATGGACATGGGAGCGGGGTACCTGAGGCTTCCTCCCGATATTGGGAGCAGTATTCTCAATTCATTGGATAGTTATCGCCCGGCCAAGCGCTGCAGCCTTCAGCCAATAAAGTGCTGTTTCGACCACGTTTTGCCTGTCTCATTGCGTGCACGAGGCCAAGGGCCGATCCCGAACAGCCGACCTTCAACCAAACAAAACACTGAACCAAAACACAAAGACATTGAGTGACAAATATGTAGGAACTCCTACACGGGTGCGTCGTTCACGCTCCCGCGTTGGATCTACACCCCACTGTCTATCGGCCAAACGTTTGAGTTGGAGTCTTCTGTCAGGGTTCACAAAGAAAAATACCTTCGTCGGTGTGAGCTAGCACGATTTAAAATATTCTCTTTCCAGTCTCTATTAGTCTTCCTCGTACTCGCAAATCTTAGGAGATATCTCCTGTCTGCACCACTCATCGGATATCACTCAGCCTTCAATAAGTAAGTTACATCAACCAGAAGCTAACAGATTTTTGAAACCAAAATCTACTTTTCACCCAGCCGCATTTATTGTCCACACACTGTCAGATCGGTCAACGAGTTGCCTTAGCTGAACATTTTAAATTTAGACATGTGCTGTGTCTCCGAAACACGCATACCATACGCCACTTCAGTCGTCTCCACATCCGACCTGCTCGTCACCTTTCACTCTCCATGTGTCAGACGATTTGGCATCCGAAGCTGGTGTCGGGTTTGCGGTAAGTGTCAAGGCCGAGCGTTCACTTCTTGACTGAATTCCCGTTAGTAGCTGATTGTGCGCTGTACGTCTCGACAGCTCAGTACGGGTCAACAGCTAGTGAACGAAGCGTCGATGCATTTTCGTTGTATCCGTATATTCAACAGCCGATTGAGGTACAGCCGATTGTTAGATGAATACGAAGCCTTCTTCCAACGGATGTCGTGATGTTCATTGGAGACTTCAATGCTCAAGCGGGGTACCTGCACATATCAGAAGGGCTTCTAAGTGGTACTGTGGAAACTATGATTACGGTATTCAAAGCTTCATGCTTGAGCGGATTGAAGCATTTCTCCGATATCGGACCGTATCAGTCCGTGTTTCTGATTCGCTTTCCAGTCCCATAGACGTTACCCGCGGGGTGCCAAAAGAATCTGTGTTTGGCCCGCGACTTTACCTAACATTCATAAACGACCTACCGAAGGCTCTGGGGCCAAAATCATTACTGTTTGCAGATGACGCCAAAATTCGGAATATAGTGACGCAACCAGCGGGCTCACTTGACTCCAGGAAACGCTGAAAGCAGCTCATCTCTGGTCTCTTTTGAACGATACTGATGTGTCCCAAAGTGTAAGGTTCTATTTCTACGACACAGGGGGCGATTTTCGTATTTCCTCGGAAATGAACAACTGCCACACGCCGCAAGTGAGAAGGACCTGGGCATCATCATTCAAGAAAACTTAA